ATCCATCTCATCAACTGCATTCGTCTCTGTGCTCCTGTTGCCTGCAAATCAAAATTTAATAACTTCAGGGCCCAATATGCCTTATGCTCAAGTTCAACAGGTAAATGACATGATTTTCCAAAGACCAACCTATATGGGGACATGCCGATGGGTGTTTTATATGCAGTCCTATATGCCCACAATGCATCATTTAGCTTGATTCACCAGTCCTTCCTAGAGGAGTCTACTGTCTTCTCCAAAATTCTTTTGAGTTCCCTATTAGCTAAATCGACTTGGCCACTGGTTTGAGGGTGATATGGGGTTGCTAATTTATGCATAACACCATATTTTCGCATCAACCGCTCAAATTGGGTGTTGCAGAAATGAGTTCCCCTATCACTAATTATGGCGTGAGGTGTGCCGAATCGAGTGAATAGCTTTTTGAGGAAGTGAACTACTCTCCTAGAGTCATTTGTGGGTAAATCCATGGCTGCCACCCATTTGGACACATAGTCAACAACAAATAGGATGTATTTGTTCCCAAAAGAATTTGGGAATGGTCCCATGAAGTCTATACCCCATACATAAAAAATTTCACAGATTAATATATTAGTAAGAGGCATTTCATTCTGTTGAGAGATATTACTTGTCCTTTGGCACTGGTCACATGTGGACACATACCTGTGAGCATCMTTGAACAAGGTTGGCCAATAGAAACCTGATTGCAATACCTTGGCTGCAGTGCAGTTGGCTCCGAAGTGGCCTCCCGCTTCTCGATCATGGCAATAGCGGAGCACCGACTCCATCTCCTCATTGGGAACACACCTCCTAATGATCTGATCTGCACAAAGTTTATACAGAAAGGGGTCCTCCCACAAATAGTGTTTCACATCAAAGAAGAATTTCTTCCTCTACTGATATGAAAGATTAGAAGGGAGAACATTTCCAGCAAGATAATTGGCAAAATCAGCATACCAAGGAGATGTGTCTACCTGAATAGAATAGAGCTACTCATCCGGAAACTCATCTCGGAAGGTGCTGGTTATCTTCCCTTCCAAGTCTGCATTCTCTAACCGGGAAAGATGATCAGCAGCTAGGTTCTCGGTACCCTTCTTGTCACAGATCTCAACATCAAACTCTGGCAGCAGCAGAATCCACCTTATCAACCTTGGTTTGGCATCATTCTTTGCGAGTAGGTGTCTTAATGCTGGTTGATTTATATACACAACAACCTTGGACAAGATTAGATATGAATGAAACTTATCAAAAGAAAAAATTACCGCTAGTAGTTCTTTCTCTGTTGTGGTGTAATTCTGTTGAGCTCCATTCAAGGTCCTGCTAGCATAATAAATTGGTTGAAAGTGTTAGTTCATTCTTTGTCGTAAAACAACCCCCACTGCTGAATCACTCGCATCACACATCAGCTCGAAAGGAAGAGTCCAATCCGGTGCTATTATGATCGAGGCATTAATTAGCTTGTCCTTTAGGATGTTGAACACTTGTAGGCATTCCTTTGTGAAATCGAAGGGCACATCTTTCTGAAGCAAATTGGACAACGACTTAGCTATCTTGGAGAAATCTTTGATGAACYGACTGTAGAATCCTACATGTCCCAAGAAGCTTCTCACAGAATGGACGGATGTTGGTGGCGGCAACTTCTCAATTGTCTCCACCTTGGCTTTGTCAACCACAATCCCTCTCTATGAAACCTTATGTCCAAGCACAATGCCTTCTTGCACAATGAAATGACATTTCTCCCAGTTCAGCACTAGATGAGTTTCCTTGCACCGCTTGAGTACATTCTCCAAGTTATTTAAACATGCATCGAAGGAAGAGCCAAAGACTGAAAAATCGTCCATGAAGATCTCCATAAACTTCTCAACCATATCAGAAAATATATCCATCATGCACCTCTGAAAAGTTGCTGGAGCATTGCATAACCCGAATGGCATCCTCCTGTAGGCAAAGGTACCGTAGGGACATGTGAAGGTGGTCTTCTCCTGATCTTCCGGTGAAATCTGAATCTGATTATAGCCCGAATACCCATCTAAGAAACAATAGTACTCATGTTCGGCTAGCCTCTCTAACATCTGATTAATGAAGGGTAGAGGGAAGTGGTCCTTGCATGTGGTTTCATTTAATTTTCTGTAATCAATGCACACTCGCCACCCGGTAATGGTCCTAGTCGGTATGAGTTCATTCTTAGCATTCGGTACCACGGTCATGCCACCTTTCTTCGACACTTCTTGCACTGGACTCACCCATGAGCTGTCGGAGATCGGATAGATAATGCCTGCATCTAACAGCTTGATTACTTCGGCCTTCACCACATCCTTCATGTTTGGGTTCAGGCGTCTCTAGGGCTGAACCGAGGGCTTGCTTCCATCYTCCATCAGAATTTTGTGAGTGCATATGGATGGGTTGATGCCCTTGATGTTTGCTATCTTCCAAGTCAGAGCTGTTTTATGTTCTCTTAACACCCGTAATAGTTTTTCTTTCTGCAGAGGGGACAAGGCTGCTGATATGATCACTAGTAGGGCTAAAGGTGCTTCTAAGAAAGCATACTC